ACCTTTAAGGGCTGAAAAATATTCTTTGATAAATTCATGTTACTTTGATGCTCAGCTTGAAGTGAGACTGGACAACAGGGAAGCCTTAAACGTCCAAATGATTTAGAAAGTTGAGATTAAAAAGAACAAGCAGAAAGCTGGGAGATGTGACTTGAATCACAGCCAGTAGGTGACAGGATTCACTGTGTTTATTTATATACTCCAGTTCTGAGCACTTATAACTGGACTCGGCCAACTCTTGTGGCTGGACATTTGCTTTATATTTGGTCACACTCGGGAATATAAATATAAATACAACATTGTAAGAAAACGTAAGATTTTGTTTAATCTTCAAGCCAACTTTGAATCTGTACTCGATTTGCAAGCTAAGTGATCAATTTGCTGTATGAATAATATTGGACAGTGGAGAAAGAATCTCTATGGCCACTGGATGGGACCAAGCGTCTGCCTTTGTTTCATGCAATTGGTGACTGCTAGATAGTTCAGCACTTGGCAGGAAAAAAAAAACTGCTTTTATGGGAAGATACCTTCCAGTGTTGCTAGGAAACCCAGGAACTGTTTTTGTAGGATCTCGAGATGTCAGTTCACTTTTAGTACAACACAATTAAGAGCAGTTGAATGTTTTAAGTACCATTTTGAAGAAGAACTACTGAAAGTCATTTAAAAAATCACTTTGAAATTTCTCAAGCAGTGTAGTCATCCCTTGGTCTCCACAGGCTCTTTATAGCTAATCAAGCTCACAGATGCTCCAGTTCCTTACATAGAATGGTGTAATGTTTTGCATGCAAACCGAGCACATCCTTCAATATACTTGAAAATCATTTCTAGATTACCTATAATGTAATATGAATACTATGCAATTCTTATACACTAACGGAGTAGCAAGGAAGAATCTGTGTTTAGTATAGATGCAGTTTCTTGGGGCTTGAACTTGGAGCCTGTGTGCTCTCACTAAGCTCCTTAAGGCTCATGCTCTACCACTTTGAGCCACAGCTCCAGTTCTGATGTTCTGCTGGTTAGAGGTAACAGTCTGATGGTCTTTCCTGCCCTGGCTGGCTTTGAACTGCAATACTCAGATCTCAGTAGCTAGCATTACAGGTGTGAGCCACTAGGGCCTGGCTTGGATGTAGTTTTAAAAGTATATTTTTGGCCCAAGTTTGTTTGACTCTGTAGATGCGGAACCTACAAATTAGAACTTGTGTGTAAATGTCAAAACACAGAATAAAACAGAATAGGCACCAGCATTGGTGGCTCACGCCTGTAATCCTAGCTACTCAGGAGGCTGAGATCTGAGGATCGTGATTCAAAGCCAGCCTGGGCAGGAAAGATTCTTACCTCAATTAACCACCTGAAAACCAGAAGTGGTGCCGTAGCTCAAGTGGTAGAGCGCTTGCCTTGAGCTGAAGAGCTGAGGGACAGTGCCCAGGCCCAGAGTTCAAGCCTTACTACCAACCAAAAAAGCAAAACAAAACAAAATAAAAAACCTCACCGGAATTGGCGTTTTCTGTCATTGCATTCTCCGTTCTCAAAAATAGTTGCTGATAACATTTTGGGGTTTTGTTTTTTTTTGCCTTTTAGTTTTTGTTAAATTTTCTGGTGTGGGACTTGAACTCTGGGCCTGAGCACTGTTCCTCAGTTTTTCAGCTCAAAGCTAGCGCTCAGCCACAGTGCCGGCTCTGGTTTTCTAGTGGTTTATTGGAGATAAAAGTCTCACAGATTTTGCTGCCCAGGTTGCCTTTGAACTGGGATCCTCAGATCTCAGCCTTCTGAGTAGCTAGGGCTGGTGTTTTTTTATTTTAACATCATTTTTATGTACACATATAACAAATATTAAGACATTTCAGTATTTTAAAGTCAAAGTAATTTTCTCTGTAAACAAGAAGAATGGAAGACAATTTAGTTGCATTTCATTCTGGTGACTTTATATAGAGTTAAACAGTATACGTGGGAGGATTTGAACTTTAAATAATGTTGATGTTTGATAAATGTCATTTCTATAAAATAACTCAAAACAGAACCTCAAAACACAAAATTACATGATAGTGATTTTGCATATTCACTTTTGTGTATTGCTGAGCTATATTTTATTCATTTTGAAATGCAGTTTTTGTTCTGAAGTGTAGTGGGGTTGTTCTTACCTTCCTTGACACATAAAGTTAAATGTAGGCAACAAAGTGTAGTGGCCATAGACAGAAATGGCTGGTGTGAAGGCATAGAGCGTGTAATTGCCTAGCATATGGGAGGCTCTGGATTCATCCTCTCCCAAGAGAAAAGAAACAAGGAACACTTAAAAAAAGTGGAATTTCTTCAGGCAGATAAATCCCCTCACCTCCCAACATTTCTAAAACTGGTCACACTGATAATGCAGTCTTTTCTTTACATGCAAGGAACTATGTGAAAAAGTTGTTACTTCTAGTTTCTTTCTACCGTAATGGTGCTAATTAATGGTTTAATGGTAAAATGGGACAAGCACTTCACAAAGTCCTAAGCATATAAGAAATAGCCTGGGGGCTGGGAAGGTGGCTCAGTGGTAGAGCGCATGCCTTGCATGCCAGAGGCCCTGGGTTCGATTCTTCAGCACCACATAAGCAAAAACAAAAAAGCCCGAAGTGGTGCTGTGGCTCAAGTGGTAGAGCGCTAGCCTAGAGCTGAAGAGCTGAGGGACAGCGCCCAGTCCCAGAGTTCAGGCCCCATGACTGGACCCAAAAAAAAAAAAAAAAAGAGATAGCATGGGATGAAAAGTTAATCACCATTGAGGTAGTGTGACCCAATCTCAAATACTGATACTTGATAGTCTCACCATCGAGTCTGCAAAGGAAAAACAGTGCAAGGTAGTAGTAGTACATGCTCAACCCCGAGAAGGGGTGTAAACAGTGTGAAATGAGGGCAGAAGGGTCGTTACAGGGCGGAGAGGAAGAATGTCTTTAGCAACTGAGGAAGGCAGGGAACTGAGTATTAGACATGATTTAAAAAAAAAACATGTTTATCCAGAGGTATAAATACATATGAAGTCCTATTTTAAATATGTAGCTATGAAATGGAGACTGAAGTAATAAGGGCATTGGGGAGATTAGTACGTTGATGGGTCTGAATTATTGGGTTTGCATAGTGGTCATCAATCTTGCTATGTAAAAATCAACTCAAGTGGAGGCTTAACACAAAGAAATCCTGTGTCCATGATCCTATACAGTTCCAGGTTAGGTGAGGCAAGCGGGTAGGATGGGCTTATCCACAGGGATAAGAGACACATCCATTCTTACCCCTGAGATTTGTTCACAGTGAGAGGGGTCCAAAAGAGGAGGGGATGGGTGTAGCAGAGCTTTTGAGGCCTAGTGCACCGGGCAGCGCCTGTTAAATTCTGTTGGTCAAAGCAAGCTCAGCCGGAGACTTACAGGAGGAAGTAGAGGAAATTTGTATCCATTTTTAATCTGTTCGAGAAATGTTCTTAAATGCTATTAAAAGCTTTGGAAATAGCTGGGCTCTGGTGGCTCAGGCCTTTCATTCTAGCTATTAAGGAGGCTAAGACCTAGAGGATTGTGGTTCAAAGCCAGCCCAGAGAGAAAAGTCTGCATCACTCAATCTTCAATTAAGTAGCAAAAATGCTGGTCTGGAAGCATGGCTGAAGTAGTAGAGAACTAGCCCAGTGAGAGATTAAAAGTCCTTAAGTTGGGCTGGGAAGGTGGCTCAGTGGTAGAGTGCTTGCCTTGCAATGCATGAGGCCCTGGGTTCAATTCCTCAGCACCACATAAGCAAAAAAATAAATAAATTAAAAAAAAAAATCTTAAAAAACAAAACTCCTTAAGTTCAAGTCCTGGTAATTGTAAAAAAAGTAAATCGAATATAATGGTATTTTGTGTATATATCCGTGTAAGAGGTAGAATATAAATATGGAGTAATAGGAATTTTTCAGTTCCACTAAACTTGAATGAGATGAAGGTCATACACAGGGTCTGCCTTTAGCTCAAAACAATATTATACAGCCTATCACTCAGATAAATTGACAGTGCTTGCTTGCTTGCTTCTTTCCTTCCTTCTTTCTTTCCTTCCTGTCTTCATTTTCTTGTCACAAAGTATTGCATTGAAATGAATTAAGTAGAGCACTCAGTGGTAGAGCACTTGCCTTGCATGCATGAGGCCCTGATTTTGATTCCTCAGCACTAACCATATAAGCAAAAAGCCGGAAGTGGCGCTGTAGCTCAAGTGGTAGAGCGCTAGCCTTGAGTTGAAGAGCTGAGGGACAAGTGCCTAGGCCCAGAGTTCAGGCCCCACAACCGGACCCAAAAAAAAATAAATTTTAAAAAAATGAAATGAATTAAGCATTCAACAGAAATGATACAAGTTTACTAAAAATTAAAAAAGCCTTATCGGGGGCTGGGAAGGTGGCTCAGTGGTAACGTGCTTGCCTTGAATGCATGAGGTCCTGGGTTCAATTCCTCAGCACCACAGAAACATAAAAAGCCAGAAGTTGCACTGTGGCTCAAGTGGTAGAGTGCTAGCCTTGAGCTGAAGAGCTGAGGGACAGCGCCCAGGTCCAGAGTACAGGCCCCATGACTGACGCTCCCATTTCCCCTCACCCCCCCAAAAAAAAGCTTTAGCAGGAACATGTGTCAAAATCATTAACATGGCCCTGTCAAAAATGACTTGCAGATGTATTCGTTCCATCGTAGTGAGTGTGAATTAGTGTGATTTCTAGCTTATAACTGAGCTTTTGCAGATTCTAGCCAACTGCAATTTAAAAATGTCTGCTGAGATACAGAAATGCTCAGTGAATCATAAAGTTATTTTGTGTGGTGTTGGAAAGTTCGTAATGTTTTAAAGAAAAGCAGATGGTATTAATAGTGTCATTCCATTTTTTACAAAGGCACGACTGAGTTGAAACGCCATTCTTCTGGGTCTTCCCTACCCCCATCCCCCAGCACTGTGCTGCCCAGCGTGGCCGCAAGGCCATGAGCCGGAGTCATTGCAGTTGCTTAGTCCCATTTGTGTGCTTCTTTCTCCAGATTTCACCAGAGGCTTGAGTATCACCACTCCTGAACAGACGATCGAAAAAGCTAAAGGGGAAACAGCCTATCTGCCCTGCAAGTTCACCCTCAGCCAGGAAGACCAGGGGCCATTGGACATTGAATGGCTGCTCTCTCCATCCGATAATCAGCAGGTGGATCAAGTGGTGAGTGTGAGAAGGGCTGGGCCACCGTGCAGATGGCCGTGCAGCTCTCCTGTGCCTGCCCATCACCCTGCACATGGCATAGTCTGGCTGCAGGGAGCCGGGAAGAAATCTGACTGCTCAGGCTTGTGAGGAAGGCAATCACCTAGCGGGGGAAGTTGAGGTCACCGAGGTAATGAAGTGAAATGGATAATAAGTTGACTTCAGATTACAATTGGGAAGAGGTCATTCTGTTCCTTAGAGAAGGTTACGGGGAAGAAGAGGAACTTGGGAAAGTACGGAAAGTCTTGATTAGAAATTGTTTGTTATAAGTCAGGAAATTGTGCTGGGTGTCCAGAGGGCACAAGACGGAAGTGGGTGTGGTTACGTCATGGATGGCAGGGAGGAAATGCTATGTTAAAGGTTGGATAGAATACACAGGCATTCTGTTACTGTAAAATGTAAGATGTCACGTACTGTAACATAGGCATATATTATTAGATTCTATTCATCTCACTCTTTGCCTTAAATATCCTATGCATTGAGTTTCTTCAGAAACAAAATGAAGTCATTGTAGCATGAAGATACAGTACATAAAATGTTTAATCATTAATTTAAAAATTATTACTATAAAGGTGAGGTATAGAGAAGGTTACAGTTAACGTAAGTCATTAATTTAAAAATACAAAAGTACATTTATAATACTTTTTCCTAGTCGAAGTAATAAGTGCTTAATGTAGAAAACTTGCAAACCAAAAACTGCTTGTGCATGCAGACACACATGCACCCCACCCCCAAAATTTGCCAGGTACTGCCGTCTCCAAAAATGAGTATCTCCTTTTGCCTTTTAAAAACCTCATTTTATCTGCAAGGTTGTTTATTAGCTTCATCGGACACATTTAATAAAATAAAATTAGACCAGGAGGAGAAGAACAAGTTAAATATTTTGAGGGATGTTTTGAGATGTGTCTGTATACATACATACATATATAGATGCGCACACATATATGTGAATATATGTATATTCACATATATAGTGTATAAAAAGAAAAAAAAAAAGGAAAAACCTGGCCTAAAACAGTAGAAGAAAGGTAAGGTTAAAGGGAGATTATACAGAAGAGAGGGTTTACTTAGAATTTCAGTAAATTCTCTTGGCAGAATCCTTTTTTACTGTATTTAGCAGACAGTAGTTAAGGACTTGGAATCAAAGGACTGGGCTGAGTCCATATCCGGTCTTCCTTCTTCTGTGATCACTTTAGTCAGCAGTGAGCATGTACTATGTTTTTGGTAGTGTTCTTTAATTAGATAGCCATGCCACACTCAGTATTGTGGGTAAGTTCTGAGAAATACATTGTTAGGTGTTATATATTTTTGCCATTGTGTGAAAACCACAGACTGTTCTCACACAAACACAAGATGGCTATGAAAGAAACTTAGCCACAGAAACATCACTACACAGTCCAGCCTGACTGTAGGTGTTTTATGTAAGCCTTGAAATGACACCCTTAAGTGAGAATATGACAGGGTAGAAATGGTATCAGCTATGTGCAGGAACAAGACTGTGGCCACACAGCTAGCAGTTGAGATTTGAATCCAGTTCTCTGTACTTTGGTGATCCCCTATTGCCTCTCATGTTAGACACACCTTTATTTAAAAGATGTAAAAAAAGGTGTAAAATAGGGACTGGTTATTGATTACCTCTGAGGTGTTAAAGGAATTCAGTGAAACACTATGCACAACTATTTTATCAGCTTGTAAGTAGATGTAAAAATATTAATAATAATGGGAATCAGAAAAACAACTGTGCTTTGTATATGAATCTTGTTTCATCATTAGTTAAGTACCATCTTTTGGAGGACTTTCTGTACTACCATTATAAACAAAGTACTATATATTCATAGCATATGTATGTATAGATATGTATATAGTATATAAAGTTATTTAAAAATAATAGGAAGAACAGGACTTATTCAAAATATAAAAAATATTAATCATGCATTGCGCCAAACAGATCTGGCTGGCAGCTAAGTGTGACTGCAAAGCTTGGTGTGTGGGAACTACTTACTGTTTTTCTTTTTTTTTTTTTTTGTCAGTCGTGGGGCTTGAACTCTGGGCCTGGGCGCTGTCCCTCAGCTCTTCAGCTCAAGGCCAGCGCTCTACCACTTGAGCTACAGCGCCACTTCCGGTTTTCTGGCGGTTTATTGGAGATAGGAGTCTCACGCTGTCTCCTGCCCGGGCTGGCTTTGAACCGCGATCCTCAGATCTCAGCCTCCTGAGTAGCTAGGATTACAGGCATGAGCCACCAGCGCTCGGCTACTTACTGTTTTTCTTAGGCTAGGTGTTACATGTGGACAGTGCTCTAAAGCATCCCTGGGGTGAAGAAGAATCTGTGGAGATGTGTGGAATTGCCTGCTAAATGTTAGTTACTCACTTCTAGTTTATAAAATAACTCACAATGTAAACCTAACTTATTTGTTAGTCTCACCCCCCCCCCCCTTTTTTTTTTTTTGGTTGGTCCTGGGTCTTGAACTCTGGGCCTGGGCGTTGTCCTTGAGATTGTCTGCTCAAGGATACTGCTCTACCACTTGAGCCACAGTACCACTTCTGGTTTTCTGGTGTTTTTTTTTTTTTTTTTTTTTTTGAGATAAGAGTCTCCTGGACTTTCTTGCCCAGACTGGCTTTGAACCATGATCCCAGATCTCAGCCTCCTGAGTAGCTAGGATTACAGGCGTGAGCCACCAGCGCCAGGCTTGTCAGGCCCATCTTTAAAGGCTAGTAATGTGTATGTTGCAAAATGAGCTATTAAAAGTAGAATGGATTGGCTAGGTGCTGGTGGCTCATCCCTGTAATGCTAGCTACTCAGGAGGCTGAGATCTGAGGATCACACCCCAGGCAGAAAAGTCCCTGGAGACTCTTATCTCTAATTAACCACTCAAAAACCAGTAGTGGAGCCGTGGCTCTTAAGTGGGCAAGTCCTAGATTTAAGCGAAAACAACTTAGAGACCGCACACCAGTGCTAGAATAGATTCTAGCTTAGAGTCCTTCAATTAAGTCAGTAGTGTAATTCAAAGGGAGCTACTGTTTCTCTGCACAAAGTTCTCAGTGCTGAGGTGGAGAAGTGGGTGGGGCAAGAAGGCTGAGCAAATAAAGTAATGGCTCATGTTTACAAATGAATTCAGCTGTGGGGCCCCTCGGCTTTTTTTTTTTCCCAACTGCTTTTTATATATATGTACTTAGCAAACTAAGCGTTGAGTGTATCCTGGTAATAGTCAATACATATGTTCACACACACACACACACACACACACACACACACACACACACACACACTCAGGTTTTTAGTTAGGGCTGGGATTGTATGAGTTGGAAAGACAGTGTGAGTTTCCCCTCTCAGGCGATTCTATATAGGAAACCCGGCAAAAGGTATCCTTCATGCCATTTTCCTCAAATTATACCACTTAAATTACCAACAGAAAAGAAATTGTTTTTCAAGGTATACATTATAGTCAGGCTTTTTGACTAGATTTCAGTGACCAATGTAAGAAATAAGAAAAACATTACTTTTAGGGGTTGTTAGAGATTACCATTGTAGTGCTTCAAGTTTTTGTTTTTTAAACAAAATTACTGGGGACTGAACTCACGGCTTTTACACCTGGGGCCAGCAGTCCACAGCTTGAATCATGCTGCTTGTCCCTTTTGCTCTAGCTTGTTTTTCTGATAAACTCTTAACATTTTTGGGCCTGCCAGCCTCAGACCTTAATCCTCCTACCTGAACTTCCGAGTAGCCGAGATTGTAAGCACATATTACCAAACCCAGTTAGCCTTCAGTGATTTCCACCAAATTCTTTAGTAGTGTTTCAGAAAACTCATTGAAATAGGAAGTAGTCTTTGACTTAGTCCCCGAAGATTCATTCATAGGTTTTGTTAACCCATAGACCCATATTAAAAGGCTTATCTTAATAATTTTGATGTACTAGGAACAAGAATTCTCAAGGTGCCTCCAACTTAACTTTAACACAAAAATGCTTTTATTTTTTCTTTAAATTTGTTAATTTTTTTGTTCAGCCATGGGGCTTGAACTCTGGGCCTGGGCATGTTCCTCAGCTCTTTAACTCAAGGCTAGTGCTCTACTACTTGAGCCACAGTGCCACTTCTGATTTTCTGGTGGTTTATTGGAGATAAGAGTCTCACAGACTTTACTGCCCAAGGCTGGCTTTGGACTGAGATCCTCAGGTCTCAGCCTCCTGAGTAGCTAGGATTATAGGCTTGAACCACCAGGGCCTGACGTAAATTTGTTAATTTTATTATTACATAATGTGGTAAACTATAAGCCTTTTTTTTGAGAAACAGAATAGTATATACTTCTTTTGGTATACTTAATTGATATACTGCTCCAATGGCAGTTGAAATGCATAGTGCATAGAAATGAACAACTCTGCATCCTCCATTCTGTGATTATATTTGCTCTTGGTTTCCCTATTTTAAATAGAAAAGTGGAACAAATCTCACTTAATTCTTTTCTTTTTTCTCATTTTATGAATAGATGGCCGTGGACTTCATATAGTGTCCTTCCCCTTTTGATTTTAGATTCTGCAGTATTGTGGCATATCCGGAGCTCCTAAATGAGATAGTTTTCTTTTTGTTTTGTGTATTTGTCTCCTGTCTTATTTTGACTTTGCTTTTAGATTATTTTATACTCTGGAGACAAAATTTATGATGACTACTATCAAGATCTGAAAGGTCGAGTACATTTCACAAGTAGTGATCTCAAATCTGGTGATGCATCAATAAACATAACAAATTTACAACTATCGGATATCGGCACCTATCAGTGCAAAGTGAAAAAAGCTCCTGGTGTTGCCAATAAGAAAGTTCTGCTGACTGTTCTCGGTAAGTTATTTTGTTATTATGTAATTTGTAATACTAAATTACTTATTAACAGGGTGAGTAGTTTCATAGTGTACTGTATAGCAGCAACATTTATGTAAGATAAAAGTTTAGATTTTTAGAGTAATAATTTTAAACATTTGAAGTACTTCTAAAGTCCTCAAATAGCATAAAAGACAAAGGTAGTATGTTGTATTTTTGTTTTTGTTTTTTGTTTGTCTGAGGTAAATAAGTGATCAAATTATTTTTGAAGTTCAGTGAGTTGGGAATAATCAGACTCTTGATAGAAAGATAGCACTGTGTTATGGTTTGAAGATAGCTTATCACTATCGGATCTCATAATTGAGGCTTAAATTCCTTGATATAAACATTTTGAAAGGTGGAGAGACTTGTAACAAATACATAATTAGAGGATTGTTAGAGGATAATGAATCCTTGTGAAAGGATAATATAGTCCTCGTGATAGTGATTTGTTGCTCATGAATGCTGGTTGTTACAAAGCAGTCATTTCCTTTGCTCTCTTTCAAATGCCCATTTTCCTTCTACCATGAGCTCCTCACTAGAACAAAGCAGTCTGGCACCATGTTCTTGGACCTCCCAAATTGTAAGTGAGATAGAATTTTAAAGATATAAATGATCTAGCCCCAGCTCTTTTGTTATAGCAACAGCAGGTGGAAAAGTCAGGAAGTAAGAGGTCTGAGTTTTCTGTACCATCCTTAGCCTGGATCCCAGAGTAGAACTTGTTTATTTCTGTGACCCTCAAACCATTTTGCAACATAAGACTATTCAACCCTCAGATCCCTCCCATTCTGTTCCATTCTATAGGCTTTACACTTTCACTCTCACTGTTTCAAGAATAAATATGGTTTCTCTGATGAATAGCGAGACTGTTCTGATTGGAAGAGATGGAGTTGAATAGAAGCAATTGGTGGAAGGCAATTAGATATCAGGTAGTTACTTAATTCCCTGACAGTGATTTTCATCCTTTCAATTGTATGGGCTTTAGACAGCGGATGAGATGTCTCCTAATTCTCTCACTCTCTCTCTCTGATAGTTAAGGAAATAACTGAACTGCTGGGTAAACTGTCAGACTCTCACGTTTATTATCCTTCTGTAGGTGTGATACTGTGCTCAAGCAAGCACTCTTAAGTAAATAAAAAGATTATATAACCACAAATATGCTTTCAAAACCTTTTTACTGTAGACGCCACACAAAAATGTATAATGACTATCATGTAGATAAACATAACAGTCTCATTTCTTTATTTTATTACAGTAAAATTCCTTATTCAATGACTTAAAATTGCCGTGTTCTACAGGACCCTGTGGACTTCCTTATTGTATGAAATGTTGATGGCTAGAATAGCTTAATAAAATTTAGGAAATAACTAATTAGGACAGGCTTGCCCACTTCCTTTTGTTTAAGAGAACTGGCTAGGAGTTGAATGGATAAATGTTAAAAGCTAGGAGCACGAGAGTGAGTGTTTTTGCACGCCAGTGGCCACTTTGGGGAATGTTATTTTGTTGGTCAGTCACCATTCTCTTGGAATGGACACCAAAGGCAGTCTTTTTTTTTTTTTTTTTTTAAAGCTGGGCTCAAGTGGCTCTTATCTGTAATCCTAGCTATTCAGGAGGCTGAGATCTGAGGATTGCTGTTCAAAGCCAGCCGGGTTAGAAAAGTCTATAAGACTTTTACCTCCAATTAACCACCTTTTGGTGGTTTTTAGCCTGAAGCGATAAGAGTGCTAGCTAGCCTTGAAGGGAGGGAGAGAGGGGAGTCTTAGGGACATCACCCAGACCCTGAGTTCAAGCCTAGGTATTGGCACCAATAAAAGTAAACATAAAGCATTCCAACCTATCAGGTACTAGTTAAAAATGTTCACCTTTGGAGAGAAAGCAAGTGAAGCAGGTACCCTGGAAGCTTTGGGTCTTGCCTTGTTGGACCCTGTGGGGCAGGTCATAGGTTATATTTGTAGGTCCCAGGGAAGAGATTTTGTTACAGCACAAGGCCACACATACCTAAGGGAAGCTAGGTTTGGGCAATAGCGAGGGTGCATGATATGCTAAGCAAATAATAGTGCTCATAATATCACCGACCGACAGCAGGAATGGCCCTGGAGTTAAATTTCCAACCCGCAACCACTCCCTCAGTCTGGGTGAGAAGGCTTTCTTTTTTGTTAGCTCTGTGGGAGATTACCATAGCCAAATAAGCTTTGAATTCCAACCAGGAAGGGAGGGAGGGAGAGGAGATAAATTGAGTAAATTAGAAGTGATTGCTGAGGCCGTCACCAAACAGGAACAAAAGCTTACTTTCTGTAGCTTTTTCTTCTGTTTTCTAGTGAGTTACCATTAGAGCTGAGGAAACCACCAGAATTGTTTTCTCTTAAAGTGGGAATTGGAATGAAGCTTATCTGTTGTTAAAGGTGCCTGGAAATCCTTCCCAGAGAATGTGGGAAAAGATAAGATGAAGTGCCCTCTAGTGACTCAATCCAGTGGCAGTTCCCTGGTGCTGTCATTCGCTTCACTGGCTCTGCATGATTCTTCCGTACAGAGTTACTGTCATAATATTTACAGGGCAATGAAAGGTGATTCATCAAAACCTGTACACCTTGTAGCCATGAACCAAAATGCCAAAAGTTCTGGAAACCCAGACCCAAGCACCATTTAACAGCCATCTCTGTTTCCGTCATTGCTCTCTCTCTTTTTTTTCCCTGTACGAGCAAGTGTCATTAGTCAATAGTTGATTTTTTCATGGAATGACTTGTGCTTTCTACTCTCTCTCAAAACATTTGGGTTGCTCAGGTGTCTTTTGGAAACCAATGTTGATAAAAATCTTTTTTTTTTTTTTTTTTTTTGTCGGTCGTGGGGCTTGAACTCTGGGCCTGGGCACTGTCCTGCAGCTCTTCAGCTCAAGGCGAGCGCTCTACCACTTGAGCCACAGCAACACTTCCAGTTTTCTGGTGGTTTATTGGAGATAGGAGTCTCACAGTCTTTCCTGCCCGGGCTGGCTTTGAACCGTGATCCTCAGATCTCAGCCTCCTGAGTAGCTAGGATTACAGGCGTGAGCCACCAGCGCCCGGCTTGATAAAAATCTTTTGTGGACAGTGAGTGTGGAAACCTTGGATTCAGCAGGACTTTGGATTTCCCAAGCAGCAGCTTTCAATAAATGCCCATTATTGGGCATGTTTAGTATATGAGGAGGACATTTTCAATAGTAAGGGTGAGGACTAAAGTTAGCGTCGCATACCAATAGAGGCTCCACGTATAAAACACTGCTTTAACATCTCATTGACTGCTAGGTTATAGTAATTGATAGTGTGAAGAAATGGAAGAAAATGAGGCTTATTTTGTTGAAGAATCATTATACAAAGTAATACTCAAAATTTATTTACAATCCCAATTAATGTAGTTGTTTCGAGAGTTTGAAAAAACAAACATTTGTTTCAAAACTCAATAATGCAGTTAAATGCTTCTACTAGTACTCAAGAAACTTAGTGTGAGATCTTGATTGAGAACCTTAATTGAAGATATCTCTGGTGAATATAGCAAATCCCAATGACCAACTCAAGCTGTTCCTTATTGTGATAACCATACAATTAAATTGCAATTCAGTAATACATGAAGTTCAGGTGGTGGTGTATATAAGAATTCAGAGATAGGGCTGGGAAGGTGGCTCAGTGGTAGAGCAATTGCCTTTCATGCTCAAGGCCCTGGGTTCGATTCCTCAGCACCACATAAGCAAAAAGAAAAAAGCCGGAAGTGGCGCTGTGGCTCAAGTGGTAGAGCGCTAGCCTTGAGCTGAAGAGCTGAGGGACAGCGCCCAGGCCCAGAGTTCAGGCCCCACGACCGGACCAAAAAAAAAAAGAATTCAGAGATATAAAACCCATCCACCTTTATTCATAGTAATGAAGGAATAAAAGCAGTCTGGACACTTAACCAGGGTGGGAAGACAGATGTAAAACCAGCTACAGAATTTATAGGAAACCTAAGTAGTAGAAGTAAAATACTATTTCTGTTTTGTCTCATTACCAGCATTCGTGATAATAAATCTCTTGGTTGTGAGGCTATCAGCGCACAGAGAGAAATGACTTGGCACATACTCAGATCCTGGAGAAGAATAGATAAGAAGTTGGGAGAGGAGCTTCTTTGCTTTAGTCTCAAGTGACAGTCCTCTTCCTCCTCCTTGATTTCCTCATACATGCCTGTAAAATGGAGGAGCACTGAGCTGTGCCCAAGACATGGCCAAAACCTCCTTGGGCAATGGCTGCTTGCTGAAGTTCTTTCTTAACCTGTTCTGTGTTTGGGAAGCTGAGGAAAATGCTATTCTCACCTTTTATTGTCGTCTTTTGTTTTTTTTTTGTCACTTTGGAGCCAAGGACCAACTGATGAGGTCTCGGTGATCATGGACCATGGTGGTGTTTAAGTAACTAAGAAGTCTGTTCTGGCGGGGTGCCAGTGGCTCATGCCTGTAATCTTGGCAGCGCAGGAGACTGAGATCAGAGGATCTGGTTCAAAGCAGCCCACGCAGGAAAATCTATGAGACTCTTTATCTCCAATTAGCCACCAAAAAGCTGGAAGTGGAACTCTGGCTCAAGTGGTAGAACATAGTGGCGCTGTAGCTCAAGTGGTAGAGCGCTCGCCTTGAGTTGAAGAGCTGAGGGCCCACGCCCAGGCCCAGAGTTCCAGCCCCACGACCGACAAAAAAAAAAAAACAAAACAAAACTATATAGAGCACTCAAGTGGTAGAACACTAGCCTTGAGCTGAAGAGCTGAGGGACAGTGCCCAGGCCCAGAGTTCAAGCCCCACAACCAACACACACACACACACACACACATACTCTGTTATAAAACCTTCACTTTTTTTTTTTAATCTTCCTCAGTTAAGCCTTCAGGTACAAGATGTTTTGTTGATGGATCAGAAGAAATTGGAAATGATTTCAAGCTAAAATGTGAACCAAAAGAAGGCTCACTTCCCTTGCGATATGAATGGCAAAAATTGTCTGATTCCCAGAAAATGCCCACTCCATGGCTAGCAGGTATTGCCCATAATACAAATTTTATCATGTGCCAGTGCTTTGAATTTAAATTTAGTAGTGCTTATATGTGTATGTGATTGTATATTTTAATTCACAAATACTTTTCATTTCTACAGCGTAATCAGAGCTACCATGTGAATTTTTCTGTATTTTGTAATGGCAACTCAGTGTTATGTGAGTGGAAGTTTTCAATAACAAATGATTTTACCTTTGAGAATTAGCTTTTTAGGTAGACTTTCATAAGTAGTGTGAAATGTTCATGTTCATAAATTAGAGAGTGGCTAATATTACATGTTTTGCCTAGATTCATGTTGATGCTACGGTAATTTGCCTGTGTTATATCTGAAAGTTTAAATGAAACATTTAAAAACCTGTGGCACACTAGCTTATCTAGCTAGTGTGCCACAGGTTTTTAAATGTTTTAAAAAATGTTTTAAAATGTTTTAAAAAATGTTTTAAAAAATGGCCAAATCTGATCACTTACTTGCTTATTATACTTGAACTCTTAGTTCAAACTGATTTCTATGCTCTGCTTTCTTCTGTCCACCCCACCTTGGTGTTTAGTAGTTTTCTTTCTCTCTCTTTTTTTCCAACTAGAGATCAAACTGGATCATCACTTCTGACTTTCTTTTGTATGTTTCACTCGGCTAGGTGGGGTAAATAGGATTTGCACATCTTCCTGCTGCATGAAAGAGCCTTTGTGGAATGAGTTGTTGGGTTTTTGTTTTTTGTTTTTTGAGATTTTTTTTTTAATAGTCTGAGGTGGTGCAAAATGTTTGCAACTGCTACGCAGCAGACCGATACCCATGCTTTAGCTGAGGCTCTGTGGCTGAGGATCATGGTTAACTTTTGTCTTTATCTCAGGAAGCTTCAGGATGACTGTTAATTGTAGACAGATGCATGTGGCTTCCTGGCAGTTTGCTTGCATCATGCATTATCTGTCAAATTCAGCAGGGCTAGACTTGGTGAGAGACAGAGAACCATACATCATGTAAAACTGAATTTGCTTTTTCCCCCATAGAAATGACTTCACCTGTTATATCTGTCAAAAATGCTACTTCTGAGTACTCTGGGACATACAGCTGCACAGTCCAGAACAGAGTGGGCTCTGATCAGTGCCTGCTTCGCCTTGACGTTGTTCCTCGTAAGAATCTTCTATCAGTTTACCCTATCTTCATAGAGCCTCCTTTAGTCAGTGAGGATGGGTTGAGGGGCAAAGGATGCTAGCTAGCTTTGATTAGAACACTCGGTGACTTGGTTAGTTCCCTTTCTCCTTCACAGAGGAGGAAAATCTCCACATTTTATTGGTAAAAACCAAAAATGATATTAAGGAGGTCAAAGTTGTCAAATTAGCTTTTGTATAGTATTTAGCCATTACAAGTATGAGCAGCTTAAAGAAACTCTTCAACTTTTTTTTTATTGTTATTATAAAGGTGATATACAAAGGGGTTATCGTTACATAAGTAATGAGCACATTCTTTTAAAAAATTTTTTCTTAAAAACTTTTATTGTTATTATAAAGGTGAGGTACAGAGGGGTTACGATTATGTAAGTCAGGTAGAGCACAGTTTTTACTGGACAATGTCAACCCTTCCCTCACTCTCTAAATGTCTTGTGTATTAACTAAGATTTCAATATTAAGTAAGTTCTATTCATTTTCATCTAGATGCTAGAAACAGAGAGTTCAGAAGAAAATTCTGTTTATACGTTTTTCTCTCTGGGATTTAGCAGGTTGTATAATTTGTCTCTTAAAATTAATAGATCCAATGAAATCACTCTTATCAGTGAGTAGTCTACCTTCAATATCCTAGTTGTCCCATGGACTTTTGAAATATCGTTATTATTATCTTATTCTAGCGACGAATCGAGCTGGAACGATTGCAGGAGCGGTTATAGGAACTTTGCTTGCCCTTCTGCTTATCAGTATTATCATCTTCTGCTGCCACAAAAAGCGCAGAGAAGAAAAATATGAAAAGGAAGTTCATCATGATATCAGGTAATAAAATGGAGCAGCAGCTACAAGAGATACATGGAATCTATTCTGTTTCTAAGGATTAGTTCTCTTAACTGTACTGTTTTAGGATGGGTGAACATTTTGGTTCCTCCCTTTAACACATTTTGAAGCATTTACTTCCCACTTTCATGTTCACAGGTCCAAACCACTTGTCAGTGTGCACCCTCAAATTTTTTAAGCCCTATTTTGAGTACTGTTATAAAATAGTTACGGTAAGACTGTCTGCCTTTTTACAATAAAGGGGCAGGAATAAAGTTTTAAAAAATGGGGCAGATGTTGATATTTTAAAAATGACCTGATAGGGGCTGGGAAGGTGGCTCAGTGGTAGAGCGCTTGCCTTGCATGCCCGATGTTAGGTTTTTAAAAAGAGGTAGCCGAGTAAGAACTGCACCACGCACGTGGTATCCAGGTAATGGGCAGGTTTATTCAGTAGACCTGCTGGGGCCAGGCAAGGTTGGCACTCCACGCGGCTGGCAAAAGAGAGAGGAAAGAGAGAGAAAAGAGCTAGAAAAGAGCAGAGAGAGCAAGAAAAGAACAGAGAGAGAGAGCGAGCAGAGAGAGCTAGAAAAAGGCAGAGAGAGCAGAGAGGAACAGAGAGAGAAAGAGAGAGCATCTGGGCCTGGGCTAGCCCTTATCTAGGGTATGGGCGGAGAAAGGAGTGGCCACATCAAATTCAAATATGACCTCAGCAGATGCAGATGTGACTGACCTCTTCCAGGTGTCCCAGTTGCCTAGGTAATGCAGGTACTGGGTGGAGACTTTGCTGCGAGGAGGGTGGAGTCTGCTAGCCATCCAGGAGCGGACCTTACACCCGAGACCCTGGGTTCGATTCCTCAGCACCACATAAGCAAAAAGAAAAAGCCGGAAGTGGCGCTGTGGCTCAAGTGGTAGAGTGCTAGCCTTGAGCTGAAGAGCTGAGGAACAGCGGTCAGGCCCAGAGTTCAGGCCCCACGACCGGAACCCCCCCCCGCCCCGCCCAAAAAAAAAAAAAATCAAAAAACAAAAAACCTGATAACACCAAGTGACACTAATATTGTATAACTATTCATAGTGAAATCTTTTTGATTTTTGAAGCCCTGTAGCTTAGGCTAGCCTCAAACTATAGTGCTGAACTACCTCCCTGGATTATCTTTACAGATATTCTACAAATTGGATTACAGAACTTAAAAAAATAATAACAGGAGCCAGTAGCTCAGGCTTCTAATCCTAGCCACTAAGGAGGCTAAGATCAGAGGATTTCAGTTCAAAACCAGCCTAGGCAAGAAAATCCATTTGCACTCATCTCCAAAAAAAGTGGAGCTTGTGGCTCAAGTTGTAGAGCACTAGCTTTGAGCAACAAAGCTCAGGGACAGTGCCCAGGACCTGAACACAGATATGCATGTACACACGTGTGCGCACACACACACACACTCACATGCAGTAACACATGATTTAAATTCTTTCGCACTATGACAGACATTTGATAGATCTGTGGTCTGGTCTGAACAATTGTACTTTTTAAGTGCAGCTAAAGTCACTGAGATTTATATTCTTTGTCAGTGATATGAAAATTCTTATGCCCAAATTCCAAGTTATTGGAAACTGAAATCTACAAGGTTTTCATCTAAAGTCTTAGATATCTTTCATTGTACAAGTGTATTTTTTTTAGTGAGAAATATATAAATGTGTAGTGCATATTTATATACATATATAATATCGCTAACACATATGTGTATGTATTAGTATTTTAGCAACTCGAAAATGTTCTGACTGTAATGAATGGATCTTCACTGATCATCTGAAACTACTTGATACTTGTTTCTCACAAGGCAATATGGTAAAATCATTGCCATCTGAGCATAAAGGCCATATTTCATTCTTTTTATTTACTACATGGGAACAAGTACATCACTCAAGATATTATGCCCTTTTTGGGCTTGTTTTTTCTGTGCCAATCACTTTAACACACTTACCTATTACACAACACCCTTACTCATAAACTAATACCTTGCCTAAATCTATGTTTGCAGAAATTGGTTCTTTTAACTTGTTCTGGGGGATGTTGCTTTTCAGGGAAGATGTGCCTCCTCCCAAGAGCCGGACGTCCACTGCCAGAAGCTATATTGGAAGCAATCATTCATCGCTGGGATCTATGTCTCCTTCTAACATGGAAGGTTATTCCAAGACTCCCTATAACCAAGTACCAAGCGAAGACTTTGACCGTGCTCCTCAGAGTCCTACTCTTGCTCCTGCCAAGGTAGCTGTCCCTAATCTAAGTCGAATGGGAGCCATCCCAGTGATGATTCCAGCACAGAGCAAGGATGGGTCTATCGTATAGAGCCCCTGTACTTCCTTTGTGGTTTTTTTGTTTTGTTTGTTTTTTACTCTGTGTTTCTTTTATTCTCTTGTTACAGAATCCTATTCACTCTAAATTTTGTCAACAGCCTCAAAATATCTCGGAAAAAACATTTAACAAACAGAAATGTTCACAAAATTTTGTTTGGTTCTATTGGGGAAAAAATAAGAGCATTATTTATAAAAAAATAAGAGAAAGTCACCATCTGGGGAAAAAGATAGATTTTCTTAGAGGTTGATTATAAAGGTATCTGAATACGAGTCCTGAAGTAAAAGATGTAGCACTTTGAATAATAGGTGATGCTTAAGGCATTTTAGGAGGTCTGTCTTATTTATTTATGACCCAATGGTGTTCCTCAAATTAGTTAAAATTAGTTAAAAATCTCTGGGAAATCAACTTTGTTATGTTTGTACTTATTTCTGAATATTCTTTGAAAACTAAATGTACTTGGAGTATCTCTAATAGTACAAGATACTACAGTGTTTTAGAAAGGACTAGTTTTACTTCCAAATCATTCATAAAAATTTGAGACAGGGTCTTGTTATGTAGCCCAGGGTAGCCTCTCAATTTTCCTCAATTTCCCAAATGCTGGGATTACAGCTGTGCACTATCATTCTTGGCTCAGAAATGATTTCTTAATCATTTAATTAACTGAAAAGGAAAAAGGACATAGTAACCTAGTTTATACATTACGGTAAAGGAATACCTGTCACACACATATCAGTGACACCTTCAGAGCAACAGTGAGGATAGAATCATTATTGTATGGGTGGTCCGTGGCGTCCAGGCCTGTAGTGGCCCACTACACTAGGATATAATATTTCACCATCCCCAACCAAACACTGCTCCTCACTTTTGATGGTGTCTTTCTATTAAGAAAATATTGTAACTTGTTTATTATCTGACAATTGTAGATTGAACTTGCCTCTAATTATGAAATGTAAATCTTAAGTGTACTTTTTTGTTTTAGAAACATGTAGTCCAATCCTAAGCTTACTCTTTTGAGTCCAGCCCCAGAAGGATGTGTTTATTTTAAACTCAGCGATCAAATACGTTTTAGGCAAGTAGCTTCCCTCCATTCCGAATTCCAGACGTGGAAGAATGTGGACACTTGCTAGTATGAGGCCAAACTTGTCTTGGTGGCGATCAGCAAATCAAGCTGAGCTTTGAGAAAGTTTCAATCTTAACTTTCTCTTATTAAAGGAAAAGAACAAGGGGTAAAAGGAATACTCCTAGTTGCCAAATGTGTTAAGTGCTGTTTTAGTAGAAGAAAATGAATTTCTTTTATTTCCCTTCAGATTATGAGGGAGCGTGAGATAGTATATTGAGCCAACAGTTTTCTTTATAGTAAATAAGGTCTGTAATAAATTATTGCATTAGCTCCAAACCTTTTCCCTAGATTTTAGTAGGGAGTTGGTTTCTGTTCATCTCTTTGGGTGCTGTGGTGGTCAACGCTACATTATAAATATGCCAGCATGTATTTACGATTAGGCAGAGTACTGTGTATACTTTGTAATGGTAAACTTAAGGCAAATGTTTATGTGATGGATTAGTGTACAGTTTTACATCCTTGGAAGCATTTTTTAAAAACTAGGTTCTTTACATAAAATTACCTTTTATACTTGTGTTAACATTTTCATCTGTGCCTTTTGGAGATAATTTGATTTCTATGATGACTTTCTGGTGCCTATGAGCTGGCTGTCACCTACCTGGCAGGTGCTTAGTGGTGAAGGTACTACTGTTTCTCAAACACAGCACTGTGACACCTTCCTATCCTCTTCCTTTTACTCTTGCCTCCTCCTCTTCCTCCTCCTCCACCACTTCCTCTTCCTCCTCCTCCTGTTGTTTCCCTTGTAGCATCAGTGATGATGCTATTCATAAGGATTTAAAATTTTTAATGATCCCAACACTCTTTGACTGTGTTTCTACTTTTATAATAGCTATTTTTGAAAGGTTAGATATTTGGCCTGTTTTATAAAGTATTGTAAGAAAAACAACAACACAATTTAATAATGAAGATGTTTAGATTTAGCCTATCTCTGATTTTCATGCAGATTATGCTGTCAATCTAAGTAGAAATTACACAGAAAGTAGATGGGTGCAAGATTGTCTTTCCCTTAGACTACATATTTATCTAATGCCAACTCTCACAAAATCTTTCCCAGGAAATGTATTAGTTCAGATTCATACAAACTATAATATGAAAAACAAACTTGTGAAAAAAAAAATAGTGTAACCATAACAGACTTCTTGGTTGTGATTAAGATTAGATGACACAATTTCGTTTTAGGCTTATAGCACCAGTTAGTAGCCAAACTGGATCTACGTTGTACCTGAGGTACAGTTAGGTTAAATTTTCATAGGATAATTTAAAGAGAAATAATAATATGTGTTGTATAGTTCTGTGCTTTGAATATGAAGTAGTTTACACATATTCTTTTTCTTATTGACAATCTTATTAATATTTCCTTCTTAGCTTCCCATTCTCTGAGAGTGTTCTCTTATTGGTTGCACTTACGAATTACTCTGTACAAATTTTTAAATTGAGTTATTTGTCAAGGGTTTGTTACAATGGAAACACAGCCTGAATAGGTCTTGGGGGAATTTAATTGGAAAAAAGTCCAAATAATTCTTGGTATACATTTGTATATAAACCAATAACTGATTTCTGTCAGGTGTAGTTGACACTTGTAATCCCAGCACAGATGCAGGAGGATGGAGAGTTTCAGGCCCGCCTAGACTATCTAGTGAAATCAGTCTCAAGAAACCCAGGGCCTGGCAATAGAGCTCTGTAGTAGAATGCTTGCCTGGCATGCACAAAGGCCTGGAGATGATCTCTAATACCAACGAAAAAGAAAAAAGAAGTATGTGATGACAAAGATAATATTAGACAATGTAAGAAACTTGGGAGCAAGTGAAAAGGCAAGTCAGCATCTTGAGGAAATGTTAAGAACCCATTGCATGAAGTTGGCTTTCAAATTCTGTAATATAGTGCTTCCTAAAACAACTGTTCGCAATTTCTGGGTGTGTGTGCAGCATGTAAACTGAAGTTATGAATGTTTGTAGTTTTCCCTCTAGTGTTCCCGCAGCACTGTTTAGGGTTTTCACATGCCTTATTTCAGTGTGAAAAAGAAAAAAGGTCCATGTTTTATGTGGTTAATGCTTTGTTGTGTCACATACAGAGTGCTTTGTAGAAAGTGTTGGCCCAATTTTTACTTTTTAGTGTCTTGTGACATTATATATTATAAATATGTACATATATCTTTATAATGTTGTGTTTAGTGGCACAAATGTTCTGGGCAAGTTTTAATATTTCAAATGTCTTTGGATATTGCAGCAATAAAGGCAACTTGTTTTGCAATAGAATCTCTTGTTTGCCTACTTTGACACTAAAATAACTGAGCAGGGAACAGTAAGGAATAAGTTGGTGAATTGTGGATCTGCTTATCTTTTTCTACAGAAGGCTGACAATGTATCCTGTGGATGGTAACACTAGCCTCTTAATTAAAATCAAGTTGTACAAAATGTTTGTCCTCTTTTGTAATTTAAGAATATAGTAGCCAGGCGCTGGTAGCTCTTGCCTACAATCCTAGCTACTCAGGAGGCTGAGATCTGAGGAACGTGGTTCAAAGCCAATCCAGGCAGGAAAGTCTGTGAGACTCTTATCTCTAATCAGCCACCACAAAACTAGAAGAGGCACTATCGCTCTAAGTAGTAGAATACTAATCTTGGGTGAAAGAGCTCAGGGACAGCACCCAGATCCTGAGTTCCAACCCTACCAACAAAACAAAACAAAACAAAAGACTATAGCAACTACCAGTTGTTGGTTTTGGTCATGTACATGAAAGATTTCATCCAAGAAGGAGGTTTGTGTCTTCTGCTAACTTGACAGAAGTTAAGAGAACCACAATTTACAATTCACTAATTGTCCCTGTGAATTTTAGTGATGAATACATTTGTACTACTGAAAAATGTACTTTGACACTTTACATTTGCAAAAATGGAATATTTAGTGTCAATTTCAGATTTTATATTTAAAATATCTGACTTACATATCCAATGGTGCAGATTTTAAAGACTGTAAGAACAAATTTTGTTAAAACAAAATGAAAACTTGCTCTTAGTTTTGTGACCTTGTGTACTTTTGAAATAAAATCAAGAAAGCAGTTCTCTGGTTGTGGTGTGACTTTATTTTGCCTTTAAACAAATGTCCACTACAGCTTATTTATAGTATTTATTCCTGCTTTCCTATGAAAGGTTTTCTTTACTCCACTGTATATGCTTTCAAACAGGAAGAATAAAGGTTGGAAGAATCACAAATCAATGAAAACATGTCAGCAAATAGTTCCCCACTTATATGACAGTATGTAGTATTCTGACATTTTAGTATTTACAATATAAACTCAGTGTTTCAGAGGAATTAAAAATGAGTAGACATATGCACCAAATAAGTGCACATCTGTCGCAGTCCACTTCTGTTACTTTGAAAAAGCACCTTAGGCTAGGTGACTTCTAAACAACAGAAATTAGTTGCTCACAGTTCTTGCAGGCTGGCAAATCAAAGATTGAGGTGTACCTGAAGATCCATATCTTCTGATAGGACTTCACTCTTGACTTAAAAAATGTCACCTCTTGCTGTGTGCTTGCAGATGTAAGGGAAAAAGGAACTTGTTCCAGACTCTTTTGTCAAGATACCCATTCAATTCATAGAGAGCCCTCATAACTCTGTCAAGTTCCCAAGGCCCACGCTTACGTATCACATGAAGTGTTAAGATTTCAACATAGGAATTTTAAAGAACACAAACTTTCATATCATAGCAACAACAGCTTATGATTTACAAGCTATTTCCACGGACTGGAAATGCTGACTTTAGGCAAAATCACATGGAAGTGTTAACACTTCTGTAGGAAGATGTGTTGGGGACTGTTTTACTAAAGTTTTTTGAACCATGGCACCTATCAATCAGCACTTTGAGCTGAGTAACTGTAGTGGACTCCAGTGAATTTTAGGGTTATTACCCCACCTGGCTTCTTCCCTGTAGATAGCAGCCGTACCCAACCCTCTCTCTCACTCCTACAGTTGTTGACAGTGAAAGTATTC